CATGGACTATGGGACGGTATCTCGGGAGATCCACTGGATAGTTGTAATTGGGACTACAGGACGATATCCTGGAAGGTGCCCCGAGTTATTATTCATGTGTTGAGCTGTATTTCTTCTGTGGCTTGTTTGTATCTGTGCTAGTTATTGTTGTTCTTTTCATTCTATGTTATTTCTTGTTGTTGTACTTAATTACTCTGCTTTATTTCATATTGTTAACCCTTATATTTTATTTTAGCTCAGTTGGGCCCTGACCTTCCTCGTCACTGCCCGACCGAGGTTAGGCTTGGCACTTACTGAGTACCGCTGTGGTGTACTCATGCCCTTTCTGCGCATGTTTTTGATGTGCAGATCCAGGTACCTCTACCCAGGCTTATCACCCTTGAGGCAGGGAGATCTTTCGGAGACTTCGAGATACATCTGCCGCGTCCGGAGACCAAGAAGTCTCTATCTTTATTCTATCCTATAGTGTTAGCCCTTCTATCTTACTGTTGATGTAGACATTCTGGAGTTAGAACACTTTACTATATTTCTTTCAGCTTGTGTTCCCGTGAGTTTCCGGGTTTTGGGTTAGTGTTGTAGGATTTTGAGATGTTGTGCTGCATATGCCGAACGACATTTTATATATCGTTTTCCTTTTGGTTATTCTTGGCTTTTAGTTTATATTTCCGCAAGTTTCTATTTATTTTCCGCACTCGTTAGGCTTAACTAGTCGTAGAGACTTACCGTCACGACAGTTCTCGGAGGGTGAACTGGGGTCGTGACAAAAGACAATCAATCTATAATGAAGAGGAACAAATAGAGTAAACCTCCAAAATCTTAATTTTTATTTACTTTTAAAAATTCTGATCACGCATTTGTCTTAAACGTTCAACGAAACAAATGATATCGAACTAAAAGCCAATTTGAAAATATATTATGCAAGACATGAGAGGCTACTAAAAATTATTTTCCATAAAAGATGTAACAAAGTGGTGCTGAATTGTCTTAATTACCAGCTCTATTTAGTTGTCTGTACTTCCTCTTATTCGATATACGAACTTGGAGAGTGTCACAGCCTGTGTTTTCTTCTATTTCTCTTTTAATATCCATAGCTGAATCCTCAACAGACTCCATGCAGTCTTCCACTTCAATAAGTTGGAGTGTTGGAATATCAGCAAAGCTAAGAGGGATCTCCTCGAGGTCGCGACAACCTTGGATAACTAGCTTCTCAAGCATGGGAAAGGATTCCTCTGAAGCATTCCATCCTCTCATATTACACCACAGTAATGACAAGTATTTGAGTGCAGGGAACTCGATATCTGTGGCATCCCAACAATTTTCTCCCAAAAACTCTGTCTTACTTAGTTTTAGTCTCTCAAGCTTCCGCAATCTTGTAATATTTAAAGCCATTTCTTCCGTTAGACAAAATCCGCGAATGGACAAATGCCTAAGATTTGAAGGGAAGACAAAGCAACTGGCCCCTCCAACTGAAGACCTGAATTTTGACGAGCCCGGGAGATATAGTTCAAGAGATTGAAGCTGAGTATGAACTTCTGGTATGGGAAATAATGGAATAGTAGATACACCTACAATCACGAGGCTGAGTTCTTCAAGATTCGGGAACCTCCACCAGAACCTTGGATTCTTCTCATTCTCACATATTATGTAAGTGCCAAATGTCCTCAAATTCTCTAGCATTGCTTCTGAAGATTCTTCAAAAAATGATCGGTCACTATCTTGCCATAAGAAGAAAAACTCACTTAGATTTACATGCCTTAGCTTGGTCATTTTCCAGATAGCTGCTGGCGATGTGTTTAAAAAACGCCTTCTACTTTTTTGAACCGTTAGAGTTTGAAGATCGTGCATGTGAGATACCCACTTGAAGTCAAAATCAAAGACCTTAATTGCAAGGTACCTCAAGCGAGTTAGCGATTGTACATCCGTAGCCCAAGAACGTGGCAACTCCACATCCAAGAAATGCAACACCCGAACACGTCTTAATTTAGCAAGTAAAGATAGAGGATCCGATCGGCTCCATGTGTTGAATGCTGGATGAGCAATGAACTCCAAAGACTTTGTTTCCACGGAGTCCAGAAATGGAACCTTATCCAGCCGATATTCAGAATGATCTAATTGTTCAACCAGATCATCATGAATATAAATGCATAACTGTGATTCCTTGGAGTATTGCAAATGTTGATACGGATTGTATGGCACTGCGAGCTGCTTAAACTCTTTTTCTCTAAGTTTTCCACCACAAAACTCACGCACTACATCGTGCAGTATGCAGTATTTTATCTGACCATCAAGTTTCTTCTCAGAGATCATTACTAGGCTTCTATTAAGCAGGTCATTCAAGCAAACTCTAGCTGCTTCCTCCATATTCTCTGTGTCAATATTCAGTACAAACTCTTCCGCTATCCACAATTTCACCAAATCAGACACTGAAATCTTACAGTCTTCCGGATACAATGACATGTATAGAAGGCAAGGCCTTAAGTGGTCTTCTAAATGCTCATAACTTGATTGTATTGCCTTCATGCTCTGCTCTCCTAAAACATAAGAACTCAAGTCATTTGCAAGCTTCAGCCACAAGGATGCCTCCCTTTCCATTTTCGCAATAATTCCAGCAATTAGGACAATGACAAGAGGTAATCCTTTACAATGCTCGGCCACTTGTAACCCTGCTTCCCGTAGATCCGGAGGACAACTCTCTCCTTTAAACACTTTCTTCTGCAGTAATTCCCAACTCTCTTCCAGTGTCAGAAATCTAAGAGAATAGGGATCACTGCGGTGTTGAAGATGCTTAGCCACTTCTTCAATTCGAGTTGTTACTATTACTCTGCTTCCATCTTCACCATTAGGGAAGCATAATTCCAAATCTTCCCATGCATCGACTTCCCATATATCATCTAATACAATGAGGTATCTCCTGCCTTTTAGACTCTTTTGCAACTTGTCAGCTATGTCGTCGTTCTCTTTGATATCACATTTACCACGTGTAGCTTGTGTAAGCATTTCAATCAACAACATCCTCCTATCATATGCTTGAGAAACAGAACACCAAGCTTTAGCATCAAAGTGATTAACAATAGAAGGATTGTTGTAGACTTTCCTGGCCAAAGTTGTCTTTCCGAGACCTGGCATTCCAAAGATTGAGATAACATCTAGCTCCTTTGTTCCACCAGTCAATTTCTTCATTATATTTTCTGCATCTTTCCCAAAGCCCACAATTTCCTCATCAGTTGATGGAAAACTATGTTTGGTGGAAGGCTCTACAGAAGAAAGAGCTCCTTTTCCACATGTCTCAACAACCTCCATCTCAATTGTTGAAAATTACCGCTAATTAGTCTCTTTCAAGATAGAGTAAACTACTATCCAACTGCCTTAGAGTTAATAGCTCTGTCGCCTTCCATAAAATAAATCAAAACAAAGTTAACAATCTTCTTAATTTAGAGAAAAAACCCAAACCAAAAAATAATAACAAAATAATGCCACATTGTAAGGTTTTATGGGTGTAAAGGCCACCAATATATAATGAAGATGAATAAATGGAGTAAACCTCCAAAATCTTAATTTATAACATCACACCTTAATAGTAAATTGATGAAAATTTATATTCACATTATTTGAAATACAATAGGATACAAAGGAAACATAAAGAAATTTTGATGTTATTAATTATACAAATAGCTTAAGTGTAATCCTACTTTATCATAAAGCTGCTGATCTTAGATGTTCATTGATTTCTCAGATATTGACGATGTTCATCTCATTCAAATATTGTAGGCTTTAGAGAGTGAATTTTTGGCTATAAAAGGAGAGCTTCGACTTTCATTTCTTCACACCAACAAAGAGAGAAAGAAAGAGTGAGGTTTAACAGACAGGGTATAAGAAAATAGTTTGTGAGAAAAATGGAGAGTGAGCGATATTCTTGTTACTATAGTGATATCAGTTGCTCCTCTCGGGACCGTGGTTTTTTCCTTATTAAAAGGGTTTTCCATATAAAAATCTTGGTGTCGTTGTTACTCTTTTATTCTTGTTAATTATCGTATCTCGATGCTACATTATTATTCTGCTTTTATTACCGTGAATATTATTTCTGTGGGGGGTTTATCCCAACAGCTGGTATCAGAGCACATGTTCTGCTCGTTCACTAAAATACTATTTATTACAACCCATATCCACGTGTGTTAGTTTATGCCATATATTAGTTAATATAAATCCAAGAAGTCATTATCTTTGAGATGATAAGAAGTCAATCCTATTGGTCTTAAGTGATACAAGAGTGTATAAGGGTGATTAACAAGTATTAGAAGTTAAACGAATCAAGGATGTTGTAACTCGTATTTTCAGGTAAATCTAGCGGTGCTTAATACACTCAAGAGGTCATGTAGTAAGGTATTTTAATCATATAATATCTGGATCATAAGTCTTGAAGTCAAACGAGTTATGAAACAAAAGTCGACAAAAGTTGTCGCAACTTAGGTTCATAATTTTACTTAAACATTAGGTCAAATGTTTCTAATCGTTTCTCCTAATTTACAAGGAATTACGGGGTAATCTACCAACCAAATTAAAGATCAATGAGTCTAGTTTCCAACGCATTAAACCGTTCATCAATACGATCTCGGAGTAGAGAGATATTTGTATTTTCGCGAGACTGCGCCAAACACCTCTCTATGGGGCCCACTAAGGCAGTTTAAGATATTTGGACCTATATAGGATGCCTCCAACCTATTTTAAGTCATTTATTCTCACTATTTTCAGACCTTATAGCCCTAGGAATATCCTATCAAGGTTCTCTCAAGATTCAAAACCCAAAAAAAGGCAAACAACACAAATCAAGTGTCGGGAATTCTGTGGCGCTAGTAAGTCTCTTGTTCTTCTTGTTGTTGCTCATTTTTGTGTCGTTCCAGCTCGTGTGGGAGGTTGTTTTAAAGGGTTTATGTTCTGTAAATACTCCCTCATATTCTGAATATCAATCATAGGTGATTTCAAGCCTTTTAAAGTGATTCTAGTGCCGAAAAACACTAATTGATCGCTAGTTTCGCTTTTTTGTTGTTGTGGCAACATTGAAGGGATATTTCATGGAAATTTAAGGTCAAATTGGAGTTGTTCTTTCTGTATAAAGTTAAATAACCTTTTACTCTATATGTATTTAAGATTATCCAAGTTGCGGCTAAGCCATTGAAGCTAGAACTTGTGAAATATATATCGAAAGGCTTGGTAGTAATGTTATTGTTTTGTGGACTGTTTTGCGTTGCTGTTGGGCTGCGTATTTTACTACTGTTTTGTGGATTTTTGGAGGAGGAAGGGTATGTAGAAACACCATATATATGTAGGGTTGTGGGATGATAGTTATTCGTAACATTTCCGAGTCGTTTGACACGACTACGGTGGTCGTCGTATGTATGGAGTGATTAGGCTGTGTGTGGACTATTTTGGGAGGCTCAATATGTTTATTATTGATGTTGTTTGGG